TCTTCTGTATTGCTGAATCATTAAATGGGTACAACCCGTAGGAAGGGTGATTTGGCGATATATGTCAGTATCTCAGCTGCATGTGTGCTTGGACCCAGTAATTTTCCTTCAGGGAATTTATCCGACAGATACGCCCCTACGCATGTGTAACTTCACAGGCAGGATTCCGATCGCAGCAGTGTTTGTAATGGCAAGAAGTTCAAAGCAAGTTAAACGTCAGCCATTAGGGGATTGGCCTAATTAATGGAATATCATACTCTGGCTATATGGCTGATTAAAAAAATTTTAATTGAAGGATAGGCTTTGTGTACTGATGTATTTTAAAAATCTTCAAGATACACAGTTAAGCAAAGGAGGCCAAGTGCAGGACGGTGCGTCTGTTGTGCAAAGGGGAATGAGAATACGTATTTGTATTTGCTTGTGTGTCCATGAAGAAATGGTTAGAAGTGGCAGAGAACAGTGATGGGGTAACCTGGAAGATTAAAAGCTAAGTAGACAGTTAAGTGCGAGCCTTTTTACTGTTCACCTTTTTTATGCTCAGATTTTAGAACCATGTGAATGTTTTACCTGATTAAATAAATAAATTGTGCCCTGGCCAGTGTGGTTCACTTGGAGCATCGTCCCGTGGACCAAAGGGTTGTTCGACTCCTGGTCAGGGCACAAGCCTAGGTTGTGGGTTCTGTCCCCAGTCAGGGCTCATGCCCGAGGCCACCAGTCAATTTTCTCTCTCACATCAGTGTTTCTCTTCTTCTCTCTCTCCCTCCCTTCCCTTCTCTCTAAAGTCAGTGGACACGTCCTCAACTGAGGATGAATAAGTAAATAAATAAACTGCACTTTTTAAAAAGATATTAAAACATAGTTTTCTTTACAGGCCCATGCTCAATCCACTGAGCTACACCAGCCAGGGCTAAAACATAGTTTTAAAAGTAGTATCCAAAGTACTATAAAGAGGAACTGCTTGGGTGTGTGTGTGAGAAACAGTGCTCTAATTTCCCACGTTAGCTTCAGGGGTGGGACAGGGTGGAGTCGGCTAATGTTCCTTACAAACCAGAACAGCCGGTTGAGTAATGTCATTGAGCGTGTTATGATTGTCTCTGCCATGCTAGACTTACTCATTTAAATCTTTCGCGTAGCCTGATGGGACAGCTGTATGCCGTAGAAAGAATACAAATTTTGAAGTAAGAAACTTGCATTTGACTCTTGCCTCTGCTGTTTTCTGCTGTGAGGTTTTGGACAAGTTTCTACCAACACCTCTGAACATTTGAAAAGGATGATTGAGATACATGACAGTGCTTTGTCAGTTGGCAAATACTGTGTAAAGAGAGTTATTATTACTTGTATTTTAGTTTACTTTGTGCATTAATTGGCACATCCAGTTGGTCATAATTGTGACCAACTTGATGAACATTAGTCACAAACATAACATCCTCAGCACATGGCTGAGAAAATCAAAGTGTGACCTCCCTCCACTCGCCTGCCCGCTGCTGCGTGTCACACCCTGTCTCTGCCCTTCAGATCCCCCCTTCCTCTAACCATTTCTTTCCTCCTGAACTTTGGCTACTCCAGTGGCTTGTGTTCAGCAAAAAAATTCTCTTTTCTGGTAAGTGGTGTATATATTTCTACCGTATGTGCTTTGGAATTGTTTCCTTTCCATTCCTCGTAGAGTTTGAGTCTTCATAAATATTTTCTCCATGAATTCAGAGAATGACCTCCTGACCTCTAGGGTGAGGTAGAGGGCTCCAGTGCCTTTATAAAGCCACTCTTCTTCCTCTCCTTTGTCCCTTGTGCTATTCCATCAGTTACCATCTCCCTGTCTTGTATCATCAGTCTCTTCCTGAACCCAGGCTCTATACGTTGGCCTGACATGTATGCTCAAGTCTCAATCATCCCTAAGATAATTATCTCAAATTTAAATCTTGTCTGTTGTCATATTTTTTCCACTAAAGAATTATTGCCTTTAATTTCTCCATTCTCATTTATTCCTGTCTGTTGTGATTTATGATCTGACTTCCCTCTTCGCTCTTGTGTGAAGAGGTTGGTGGACTTCCCTCTGTCAAATTCAGTAGCTTTTCAGCTCTCTTTCTGCCTGACTGTTGATGACATCTTTCTGAAATGTGTTCTGCCTTTGACTTGATGTTCATTGATTTCTGGATTTTCTTTCCTCTCCCCCAATCTCTTGTGCTGGCTTTTCTCCTATCACCTGCTGCTTAAGCTTAGAGGTTACTCATACTTCTTCCTTGTTTGTCATCTGTCATCTCAGTAGTTTTCCTTTTACAGTTGGTGTATTGCATTCATGACCAAGTTCATACTCTTTCTTTTTTCCATCTATTCTCCCTCTCTCTCTCTCTCTCTCACACACACACACACACACACGCACACATTTCATCTACTTCCATAGCTATACAAACTAATGACTTCTCCCAACTCTCTTCTGCACTTGAAATTCTTGTTAGCTGCCTTTGGACTTTCTTGCCTGGTTGCAGGTACTTTGCGTTTTCCCGTCTCCCGAACTCAAACATCTCTCCTCTCCTCCAGCGTGCTCATCTCCTGTGTTCCCAGTCTCTGTCAGCATCAGCACCACCTTCCTAGTCTCTCATGCTGGAAACCTCCAGAGTCACCCTCGCCTCCTTCCTGACCATTCACAAAGCCCTGTCACTTCGGATTCTGAAATACACCTTATACATCTCCTGTTTCCCATCCCCACTCCATGAAGTTTCTCACAAATGAAACGTAATCGGATGTGCCTCTTCCTCACACTTGACATTTTTTAATGACTTTCTATTGCCTACAGAACAAAGTCTGATGTCCCTTGTTCTCTTGGCAATAGGAGGTCCTTTACAACCTGTTGCTAAACTTCCCTTCCACCAGCCCTGACAGCCCTGTCCCCCAGCCTCCTCAGGCGTAGTCGCTGGTTTGCTCCACGTCACTTGCACGTGTCTGTGCCACAGGTCATGTTGTCTCTGCCCAGAGCCTGTTTACCTTACAGTCACTCTGGAAGGTTCTGCTCAAGAATCATATCTTTATGTTGCCTGTCTCGACCACACAAAACTGTAGTCCTATAGCACTTTGTTGATGTCTCTAATATATTTACATTAAAACTAACTTACAAACTTCTTTTTTTGAATTTTATTTATTTATTTTTAGAGAAAGGGGAAGGGAGAGAGAAAGAGAGGGAGAGATGCATGGATGTGTGAGAGAGACATCCATCGGTTGCCTCTCACATGTGCCCCAGCCAGGGACTGGCCCGCAGCCCAGGCATGCGCCCTGACTGGGAATCGAACCGGTGACCTTTTGCTTTGTTGGATGACGCTCAAGCAACTGAGGCACACCAGTCAGGATTAACTTATGACCTTATTAAGGATGCATCCAGATTGTATTATTTTCTATATTGCCACAGAAGAGCACCTGGAATATAGAATTTTGATAATTACCTGTGGGGTGAATACATTCAAAATAAAAGAGAACTCGGCTCACAGTCTTCAGAGCTCTCGTCTTGTCTTGTGAACCGAAAATTGAGGTGCTGAAGAACTTGATTTCTGTGGTCAGGCACACCTGGGTTCCCACCCACTCAGTAACATTGGCCGTGGCCATTCCCTTACCTGTGAAGTGGTGATGGTGGGGTGGCTGCGAGAGTTCAGTGTGAAGCACGTGTCAGTCGTGGTGCACTGTAATAACTTTTTAAAAAAAGATTCGTTTATTTATTTATTTATTTTTAGAGAGAGGATATGGGAGGGAGAAAGAGAGGGAGAGAAATATGAATGTGTGGTTGCTTCTCATGAACCCCAACTGGGGACCTGGCCCGAAACCCAGGCATGTGCCCTGACTGGGAATCCATCCAGCAGCCATTTGGTTCGCAGGCTGGCACTCAATCCACTGAGCCACACCAGCCAGGGCCATTGTAATAACTTTAAGCTATTATTAATTATGTAATGTATTTTTAATGAATAATAGTAATACTCTATAGTAATATTCTGAGTTATATCTGTAGCCAAAAACAAGGTACAAGAATGGCCTGTTCTCACATGATCTTCCTAAGAGGACCCTTTCTTAACCACAACAATGACATATTCCCAACATCAGCGACTGTCAACCTGTTCTGTTGCCAGTGAGCAGGAAGAGGAATACCTGATGCCCTTCCTGTTATCTGTTACTGTTATTGTGGTGGTTTGTGCTCTTAGGATTCATCTTACCCTTTCCAAACACTGAGTTTCAGATAGGAACAGTGACACCAAACAAGAAATTGCATTTGAAGAATAGGAAAGAAGAAACTCAGTATGAGGGTAAAGGTAGTAATATGGTGTTTGGATTAAGAGTCTAAGGAAAATAGAATCTAAGAATGGTTCTCCTTCCATCCCATCATTCATCAAGTTATTGTCTGTTGACCGCATACAGGGTGCACTGGGAATGGGGTAGGGTTGTCATAATTGTTTAAGGCCTAATTCTCACTGTAAAGATTTTTTAATTGAATACTTGAGATCATTGTAGATTTAACTGCAATTGTAAGAAATAATTACAAAGAGATCCCTTGTATATCATTGCAGGATTTTAGTAATGAAATCCTTTACTAATTCTTATTAGTAATGAAAGGAAGATAGTTCCTTGTGTAACTGGTATAAAACCACAGGTAGAAAGCACTTCACGACTTTAGAAAAGCTCAGATTACTCTGCTTGAAGCTGCAGCAGATCAAGTTTTCGGGCAGGTGTCAGTTTTAAGTCAAATCTCAAAAGACGAGTGTAATTGTATTAGGTTGGGGGTGGCAGGAGAGATCCAGGGGAAACAAAGGGTCTGGCTTCCTACCCGGAATTGGTGAATTTGGTAAATAATCTAGACTTGTTCCCTGCACACGTGTTAAAAACCGGTTCTTTCTTACTTCCACGTTTTAGAACTCAAGTAATGATGAGTCTAGTGTTAACCCCAGGTTGTTACATTTCATGTTTTTGATATAGAACAGCTCGACTCTACTAAGGTCTGACTTACAAAGTTTTTCTTGTGCTTTTAGAATGACGGTAAAGACCGGCATGAGCACGGCAGCGAAAGGCGGAGGCGGGGCAACCCTGAGCCGTTGTCTAATGGAGGACCCCAGGGTAACGCACTGCAGGTGGTGGAACAAGATGAAGAAGAAGATGAGGAGCTGACACTGAAATATGGCGCCAAACATGTGATCATGCTCTTTGTCCCCGTGACTCTCTGTATGGTGGTAGTGGTGGCTACCATCAAATCAGTCAGCTTTTATACCCGGAATGATGGGCAGTTGTATGTATGAGTGTTTTGTTTTATTATTCTCAAGGCCAGTGTAGCTTTCCTTTACAGCATGTCGTCATTGCCTCGAAGGCCTCTGTACTGCAGGGCCATGAAGGCTAGAGCGTCCTTCCAGCCAGAGCAGTTGAGAGAGTGAGGGGTTATGTAGTACTTGATGCTTTGAGTACAGAAAATGAAAGCTATAGAATTGTATTTCCTGAGTGGTGTCACTAAGATAGGGCTGAATTTGTTTGTAATCGAGCAGGTAAAAGTCTTGAATAGTAACCTTTCCCATCTCAGAGCCTTTAGGCCTATTGTTCTTTGCCTGGAATGTTCTTTTCTTTTCTAATTTAGGTGGACTAATTCCTATCATCCTTCTCATCTTGACTTAAATGTTAAGGCCAAAGATAACTTCTCTGATCCTCCTAACAAAATTAGGTACTTTCTGGTATTCTTTCTCATAGCAACTTGTTCTTTTTCACTTGTAACAATATGCAAATGTATACTAATTCACCTTATTTACTTAATACCTGATTTCCTTCTGTGCTGCATGTCTTATCAGAGCACTTTGTTTCCAGGATGAGGTATGTAATAAATGCTCAGTGGAAAGAATTGTTAAATGAAAGGATGAAGATTAATGCAAGCTGGCACTAGGCTCTTGGGGAACTGTCATGTAGATGCTCTGGTGCTATTGTTGTCAGTCCTTTGCCACCAAGAAAAATGCCCTGATTCGCATGTCAGCCAGTTCTGTCTCTGGGGCCCTATCAGGGCTCCAACAAATTTTAAATGGATTTTAGAACTCGAAAGTGGCAAGTGGCTGAAACACTGCCTGGGGTTCTGAAAGACAAGCTATTAATCTTTGGAAGAAAGTCTGAGACAATGAGTGACAGACAGACAGTTGTGATAATAGCCAAAAGGGATTAAGGGATATTCTCTGTGTGTAAGTTACAGTTAGTTTGGCTGCTGTTGTAGAATAGGGGTTAGCAAGCCATAGCCCACAGGTCAAATCTGCCTGTCACCTATTTTTGTAAATAAAGCTTTACTGTAATACAGTCATGTCCATTCTGTTCTATATTGTCTCTGCTGCTTCTATGCAACTCTGGCAGAGTTGAGTGGTTGCAACATGGAGCATATCACCCACAAAACTTAAAATATTTACTCTCTAATTCTTCACAGAATGTTTGCTGACTCCATCTAAAATCAAAACAACTGGTTTAAATGATAATAGATGTTTAGTCTCTCTCCTGAAGAGTAGTGCAGAGGTAGCCAGTCCAGATTGGTAGGGCAGCTTCACATTCATCAAGGGCTCAGGCTCCTCCTTCTTCCTTAGCTTCTATGTCCCAGGTTATTATGGGTGCTGAAGCCCCAGCCTTTGTTGAGATGGCAGAGAGCAGGGAGGAGTAGGGCACGAAAGGACATAAGACATATCTCTCAGCAGAATTAGCTCCTTTTTTAGGAGTTTTACCCAATACATTTGCTTTAAGTACAGAGAATGAAAGCTATAGAATTGTATTTCCTGTGTGGTGTCACTAAGATAGGGCTGAATTTGTATGTAATTGAGCAGGTAAAGTGTTGAAAGTAACCTTTCCCATCTCAGAGCCTTTAGGCCCATTGTTCTTTGCCTGGAATGTTCTTTTCTTTTCTAATTTAGGTGGACTAATTCCTATCATCCTTCTCATCTTGACTTAAATGTTAAGGCCAAAGATAACTTCTCTGATCCTCCTAACAAAATTAGGTACTTTCTGGTATTCTTTCTCATAGCAACTTGTTCTTTTTCACTTGTAACAATATGCAAATGTATACTAATTCACCTTATTTACTTAATACCTGATTTCCTTCTGTGCTGCATGTCTTATCAGAGCACTTTGTTTCCAGGATGAGGTATGTAATAAATGCTCAGTGGAAAGAATTGTTAAATGAAAGGATGAAGATTAATGCAAGCTGGCACTAGGCTCTTGGGGAACTGTCATGTAGATGCTCTGGTGCTATTGTTGTCAGTCCTTTGCCACCAAGAAAAATGCCCTGATTCGCATGTCAGCCAGTTCTGTCTCTGGGGCCCTATCAGGGCTCCAACAAATTTTAAATGGATTTTAGAACTCAAAAGTGGCAAGTGGCTGAAACACTGCCTGGGGTTCTGAAAGACAAGCTATTAATCTTTGGAAGAAAGTCTGAGACAATGAGTGACAGACAGACAATTGTGATAATAGCCAAAAGGGATTGAGGGATATTCTCTGTGTATACGTCACAGTTAGTTTGGCTACATATTGTAGAATAGGGGTTAGCAAGCCATAGCCCACAGGTCAAATCTGCCTGTCACCTATTTTTGTAAATAAAGCTTTACTGTAATACAGTCATGTCCATTCTGTTCTATATTGTCGCTGCTGCTTCTATGCAACTCTGGCAGAGTTGAGTGGTTGCAACATGGAGCATATCACCCACAAAACTTAAAATATTTACTCTCTCATTCTTCACAGAATGTTTGCTGACTCCATCTAAAATCGAAACAACTGGTTTAAATGATAATAGATGTTTAATCTCTCTCCCACAGAGTAGTGCAGAGGTAGCCAGTCCAGATTGGTAGGGCAGCTTCACATTCATCAAGGACTCAGGCTCCTCCTTCTTCCTTAGCTTCTATGTCCCAGGTTATTATGGGTGCTGAAGCCCCAGCCTTTGTTGAGACGGCAGGAAGCAGGGAGGAGTAGGGCACGAAAGGGCATAAGACATATCTCTCAGCAGAATTAACTCCTTTTTTAGGAGTTTTACCCAATACATTTGCTTATATGTAACTTGTTAGCCATTGCTTAGTCTAATGGCCACACTTGACTGTAATGGACTCAGAAACTAAGTTTGTTAGCTGGGAACATTGGCACCGAGAATAAAAGTGTTTTACGTGAATGAAAAATAAGGGGAGGGTAGATGGGTGACATTGTCTCTAGACAACACCAGTTGCAGTCACCCTGAAATTGAAAGAGAATAATTATAAGCCATATTATCATCCTCTGACAATCTTAGCCTAGGTAATTATGTGGCAGATTCTGGTTCTTTCGCAAATCACTAATCTGTGGAGAAAGGATATTCAATGAGGTAATTATTTCAGTATATAGTGTCCACTAGATGGAGCCAGTTGTCTGGCTCACAACTCTCCATGTTTTAGAAATGGACTCTTATTTTGAAGCAATCATTGTAGATGTCTAATAGCTGTTATCTTGGGTTAAAAATTCTTGGCTAGAGCGATGAGTTGGACAGAAGTGACATAAGATATTAGTTGAATCAAGGAAACAAAACTTGTGTTGGAGAGAGGATATGGTTTGGGGTGTTCATCCATTAACACTTACCAGGGCTTTTGCATTTTGTTTCATTATAGGATTTATACTCCGTTCACAGAAGACACCGAGACTGTGGGCCAAAGAGCCCTGCACTCAATCCTGAATGCTGCCATCATGATCAGCGTCATTGTTGTCATGACCATTCTCCTGGTGGCTCTGTACAAATATAGGTGCTACAAGGTGAGCGAGCACGAGGGGCAGAGCTTTACCTTCCACCCCGTTCTTGTTAAGATTTTATTTATTTATTTTTAGAGAAGGGGAGGAAGGGAGAAAGAGAGGCAGAGGAACATCAGTGTGCTCTTGCACACCCCCAACCAGAGACCTGGCCTGCAACCTAGGCCCATGCCCTGACTGGGAATCGAACCAGGAGCCTTTCAGTTTGTGGGGCAGTGCTCAACCCACTGAGCCACACCAGCCAGGGCTCCACCTCATTCTCTTTGTGATTGGGTTTTTTCTATCATATGCCTTACTTGGTATAGTAAAGAAAAAAGTCTTATATTCTAGAACTAAGTTAATTTTTGTTTTTTCTCCATCATTGTGGAGTATTTGAAAAATACAAAAAGGCATAAGTGGAAAACAGATGTTTTCATATCATAGTGTTAAATGATTTTAACATTTGATTTGTGGTATATGTATGACATTCCAAAGAAGTACATCCTAAGACCTTTGGGTTTCCATCGTTTACAAATAGTGTTACGGGATATAATTGTCCCCCTAACACTTAGGTGTTAGGGGGACAATTTCATTTGAAAATACGAAATTTAAAAATTCATATTTTCATATGGGGAAAATGAAATTTAAAAATTCATATTTTCCTACTTGAGCACAAAACAATAAAGCCACCTTCAGGTGCTGGTTTAAGTTCATTGGTGATTAGCTCTATTTCTGCTTCTAAATTGCTGCCCATCCATTTCCTCACCGCATCTCCTACAGTAGCACTAATTTTTTCCTTGGGAAACACAGCAGGGGAGGTTGTGCAGGAAAGACGCAGGCCAACGTGCCCAGCTTCTGCTCCCTTCTGCTCCCTGGCTTGCTCTCTAGCTAAGCGGCGTACTGCTGAATTTCAGCCTCCTGGCACATATTTCAGGTTCGTGCCTCAAAAAAAAAAAAAAAAGACCAATTATTATAAGTCATAAACCTTTAGGGTCATTCTCAAGTAAATATTAACTTTCCAAATATCAAAGTCTGTCTATTTTCTTATAGTATTTATTTCTCTGTGTGTGTATATACATATATATGTATATATGTATAAGATATATATGTGTGTATATATACATATTTTAAGATTTTTATTTCTTTTTTAGAGAGTGGGGAAGGGAGGGAGAAAGAGAGAGGAATATGGATCAGCTTGGCCTCTTGTGCACCCCAGCCGGGCACCTGGCTTGAAACCAGGCATGTGCCCTGACCAGGAGTCGAACCCTGATCTTTCATTTTGCAGGATGACACCCAACCCAATGAGCCACACCAGTCAGGGTTGTATGTAGTTTTTTAACATGAATAATATAAAATACAATTAGTATGTGTCCTTTCTTCACTTTTACTTTGGCATAAACATTTTTCCATATTATAAATACTTAGAAAATATGTCTGATCACTATATAATATTAACTCAGTGAGTGCATTGTAATGTATTTCCCTCATTTAAGTTGTTTGCAGTTTTTCAGTATCCTAAACAAATGTCTTTATGCATAGAGCTTTTTCAGTTTTTCAGTTTGTTTTCTTAGGGTAAAATTCCAGACAGAATTTTTGGGGCAGATTATCTGCATATCTTGGTGTGCAAAATTCCCTTTTCCAAATTATACTATTAATTTTTACTTAATACTAGTAGTGAATGAGATTCTCTTGTCTTATCCCATCTTCACCAGCATTGAATTTTTTTTAATCTGTGCTGATTTTTATAGGCTAATAAGCAAAATGCCCTGATTTGCATTCAGTTGGTTGCTGATAAGCTCAAATACCTTTTCAATGTTCATAAACTCTAAAGTTAAACAGTTTAACCTTGTGTGGTGAACGTTTGAGAGGGTGGAAGTGTTAACCTGACACTGGCGTATGGAGAAGATTGAAGAGGAAGTGTGCCTGTGGTGATGACTACCTGTCATCACCACCTAGAAAACCAGAGGGTGAATGACGTAAACCGGAGTAAGAAGCGTTGTGCTCCCGCTGTTTACATGTACTCATATCTTAAATGCTTTCCTTGATCCTGTCTTCACCATATAGATTGTCCACGTATAAGTATTTATCTGCTGGTTTCATTTCTCTGATTTATCGGACTCACTTTTATCTGGATTATGTGCTGCTTTCACATTTTATTGGGAGTGTCTTTAGGGTCATGTCCACACCTGCACATCTTGAAGATGGGGCCCCAAGTTCATAACAGCTTGAAGAGGTTGCTTTCCGGAGCTGCTTCCTTTCGGTGATCTCCCTGCTACTTTCTGGTTCTTTTGATTTCCCTGTTTCAGAAAGATGGGCTTTATTTTCCCGACATCAAGAAGGGTGAGGACAGAAATACAGCAAGGGCCACTTGCCTTACTCTTGGAAAACTACAGCTTCTCCAGTCTGATGGGAAGCTTCCCGTCCCTCTTGAGTTTTAGACTCCTGCTGCCCGCTTTGTCACCACCCCAGGATTATTTGGGGACTGAGTATGAAAGAATGGAGAAAATGAAAGAAACAGAAACTGAGATTTTGCCTTCTCTGGTGTGTGGAGACCTCTCTCCCTCCTCCTCCTCTAGCCAGAACTCGAGGGCTTCTACACTTGCTGTCGTTGCCTTGCTAATTCCCACTCGGGTTGCATTGCATTCTGGTAGAGGAGGGCAGTACTGGCGTGGAAGTAGTGACACTGAAATTCACTGTCGGTTCCCTGGTACTTTTAATTTTTCAGCACAACTACTGTCTCTTCACTTTTCATACTCCTCATTAGTAGCATGCATTCTATCTAGCTTTTATAGTTGCATATGGTAGACGAAGTGAGCTTTCACTCCTTTTTACCTAGAACCTGTCTTGATATACAAGGTCTGTCCAGAAGGTATCCAGCCGTGTACTTTGAAAAATAAGAGACTTTTATTGAAGAAGATACAAGAAGCGTTGTACATAGGACAATAACACCTCAGTCCCCTTCAAAGTAGGCACCTTGGGACTCACACAGTTCTCTCAATCACTGTCAGTTGTACTTTCCTGAATCTCATCAACTGTGTGAAATCTCTTCCCTTTCAAGGGTGATTTTAGTTTTGGGAAAAGCCAGAATTCTCAGGGCACCAAGTCTGGGGCTGAGTCACCTGGGTGATTTAATATATCACACACACAAAAAAAACCTCTGCACGAGATGTGATGCATGAGTAGGCATGTTGTCATGATGAAGCTGCCATCACTCAGTTGCCATAGCTGGGGCCTTCTGAATCATCTGAATAGCTTTCATGGAGGAATGTTCAAGCTTAATGCTCCTCATATAATAACAGTAGTGGTCAGTTTTGTGTCTGTTTTAGTTGTGTTTCACTTTATTTGTGTATTTTTGAGATTTTAGAGAGTAGAAGGGAGAGAGTCAGTGTGTGGTTGCCTCTTGCACATGTCTACAACCCAGGCATGTGCTTTGACTGGGAATCAAACTGGCAACCTTTTGGTTCGCAGGCCAGCACTCAATCCAATGAGCCACACCCACCAGGGCAAGTTTTGCTTCATTTTAGACCATTTAAAAGGTTCATATTCAAATGAGGTTGAGAAAATAAAATATTATTTACCAGAAAAATAAAAGGTTCATATTCAGCCAGATTTGTACATTTACTCATTCATTTGTGTTGTTTTGATTTGCTTTTTAATGTTCAAGTCTTAGCAAGCACAGCCAGTTCTAAAGTTGTTTGACTTGTTTTGATTCTCATTATAAAATAAAAGGAACTTTTGAGTCAGAAATTCAGAAACTTGCCAGAACCTATTTGGAAATAAGTCTTTACAGTTTGTTATGTCAGTGGTTGGTTGTGCAATGTCTTTAAGAAGCACAAGAAGCTAAAAAACCAAACCTTAAAAAGTAGCAGCTGATTGTAAATGAGTCAAGATGCTCTGGCTAGAAATAAATGGTAAAAATTTATTTAAGGGTCTTATGGTTTGCACACTGGAAACTTATGGTTTGAAACACTCAGAGTGTTCCAAAGAAGAAAGAAAAGCTAAGGGTTCTTATAGTAAAAAGTACATTCTTGAGAAGAATCAGTTCTGCATTCTTAGCTTCTGGATTAGTCTGAGATGATAAGCCCCTAGATCAGTGATTTTGAACGAGTGTACCACAAGAATTTTTAAAACCTGCAATACCTGACTTTTTAGTCAGGGACGGTGACCTCTTTTTCCTTAGACTGTCAAAAAAATGACAACAGCCAACATAACAGTAGCTGCCCAGTGTAAATGAATCGAAATTACACGTTTTTTTTTAGATTGGCAAAAAATACATTTTTCGGTGTGCCACAGAATTTTAGTAATTTGTTTGTATGTTCCATGAGATGAAAAAAGTTAAAAAATCACTGCTCTGGATGACCCGTGGTCTGGATAATGGACATCAAGTGATCTGGTTACACGAACATTCTTTCCTTAGTCCTTCAGGGAGTAATCAGACAGTTATTTGAAAGTTTGATATATATCCAGGCATTGGTGCAAAACTAGAAGGTTCAAAAGTTTAAATTCCCAGGCTAATTAAAACAAGAATAGAATTGTTTCCTCATGCCTCAACCTACTTGATTTTAGTAATGTAGCAGCTTGACTATAGTGATTCCATTTTGTTTCTTCCCTTCAAAAAGTAGAACACAGAAAAAGCAGTTAATACTTACCATTTGTTGTATTCCTGGCCTGAATAGTTCAGGGTTTAGAGCAAACACTTGCTCCCCTGCACCAAAGTGGGGCTCCTTTCTTTCAGAGCCTTTAGCACAGGAAATCTGACTAGGGATTTTTTGCAGGATGAAAAAGACCTGTTTTACAATCTCTTGTTCTGGGAAAGAGGGAGGTGCTATTTAGTTATCATTAGAAGAGGCTTTGTGTTCAGGTAATAATTCAGAAAATGATAAAACAAATGACCAATCTAAATAGTAAAATCTAAAAAACTTTACAACCATTATTATAGTCAAAGGACTAATATTTTATAACATGTAGATTACTTACAAATCATTAAGAAAATTATGAACATCTTAATGAGAAATTTAAAAAATTTC